ACCTGTGCTGAAACGTTCAATTTCTCGAATGCTTTGAGGCTTCGGCTTGGCGCCCGTCGAGAGAGGGCGGAATTCACCATGTGCCTGTGGTTGAATGGCTGAATGGCCTGAGGGACATCTTTTTCAGGCCTTGATAGAGATCATTTCTGCGTGATACTTTCCTGATGGAGTGGCTGCGACCCAGTCGGAGCGACCGGGCCCCAAAAATCGACCACCTCGCTTCGAACAAGCTTCCAAGAGCAGAAAACGCCGTGTTCCAAGCTGCGTGTGCAGATTGGTAAATGGGGGGTTTGCGTCAATGGATCGTTAGTGGATTTTCGATTGGGTCTCGCCAGAGATGAGAGATGGTCCGGTGATGTTTGGTGAATCCTCAGGTGACTCTGTGATCTGCCGGTGGGTCCGAATGGTTGGTGAATTCTTTTTACCCTTTTCATCCCTTTTCACTTTATAATACAGTAGGTTTCATGGACTCTTTTTTGGTGCGTCCGGAAGGCCAATTCGGTCTGGTGTACTCTGACACACCCTTAGTAGTAGTCTATCTCAGGACAGTCCACCATTTCTTTGGTCAAGGCAACTCGAAGCACTGCTCATCAAGATGATGCTCATGGCACCAAGTCTAGGATGATGATCCTGACGATATCTGGGTATAGTATACCTTCATGAATCATCATGGAAGTTGAGTTCACCACCTGTTTGTAGAGGACAACAAGGGTGGGATCCCAGGGGCTATGCCATCCGATCAACCGGAAAAGGAGGGTGTAGGCTCTGTCAGCTGGTGACCCATCTTCAAACCGGAAACACTCGGAAACATACACACCCTCATCAGGGTCTTCAGGAGCAGTCATACATGGGGGATGTCCATAAAAGAGGAGAGGGTCCAAGCAACAGTTTTCTCCGCCTTTTTCCACTTTCCAAGAGGTTCCCCACGATTCCTAGACAACTTCAACAGGTTTCCCACCATCCTATCGAAAGATAGACTTTCCAACACACGACTCTTTAGCCAGCTCCTCGGTGAGGAAGTTCATCACCGCCAGCCGGCGAATCATTGGCAGGGCCGCAGGGCGCATACGATCATCCAAGGACATCATACGATATCATGCGATCATCCAAGAGGCGCACATCTCCCAGAGACCTTGTCTAAGACCATGTTAGACAGAAATCATTTTGAGCCCACTGGGCCCAGCGTTTGGATCGATTGCGGACCATTCTCGGTTCATGTTTGGGATATGAGATAGGCAAGTTCCTGATATTTTGTGCAAAGGATGCGTTTGATAGGGCTTCCAGAGCTTCCCTCAAGATCTTGATCAACATGCTTTCCAAGTCGCTGGGCGGAATTTTACCCAGATGGTTGCTTGGAGGGAGAGATGGACCCCCCTTTGTGGGGATGTTGCGTTTGACTTCGATTGGCCGGATCCTGTTTCTTGTTTGACCAAGCTCCTATTGGGGGAAGATGGTGGTCCGAACACATCGGGAGCAGGTTCTGACTCGACTGCAGGGTTGCCAGAAAGCTGAGGGATTATATTCACTTGAAAGACACTGTGTATGTTTTGTGACATGTGCTACATTTTTGTTTCTTTTTCTTTAGGCCTTTCCATATAGTCCAATCCAATCCAATCAACAAATTCTCCTGCTTCCTGCGATGCCAGCGTTCCCGCTTTTGCGGCCTGATGGGAGCAAGTGCTGAGCTGCTCTCCCTCAGGTCATGGATATCAGATGTGCGGAAGGGACGCCGTGGGACACGCGGCTGCGTGGCCATCGCGGTCGGTTGATGATGTAGCGAAGAGGCCACCGTTCGGCAGCCGAGGCATTCCCGGAAGAGCACATATTCTCTCCAGAATCAACGAGGAAACCGTTCTTCAACGCACGAATCCTCATGAATCCTTTGAGTAAACAGCCTCCTCGGCTATATTTAGTTCCTGCGGCAGAATTTATGGGAGTGTAACTGCGGCAAGCAACACGGGAACTCTTGGGCAGCAACTCCGAGGACGGCCACTGCAGTTCATTCTCTCGTTCAAAGGCAATATCCAGATGAAGAGAGGGCCACCTTGAACAAACACAGAGGGGACGAAGGGTGCCTTAAGTTCACAGTATCTCTGGTCATGTCATAGTCTTGCGATTCGACCACGCATGCAAGGTAGACACCGGGAGAAATGGTGAGTGGAAGTTTCAAATTGTAACCACGCACACAGACGGCAAGTTTCGACAGATTCGATCACGTTCTTCTAACGTTTGACGCGATGCGCATGCACCGAACTATTCAAACAAAGAACTCTCTCGCTGTCTTTGTGATTATCGAGTGTGATGTCCTAACACTTGTGTTGTGAGTGCTCTCCAATGTCGGAGTTTGTTGATGTGATGCAGTTCGCTGGGTTCTCAAATGGTTGTGGGCGATGGCACCCGGAGCCCCTTTCACCAGGGTAGGTTGACCATGTCAGGTAGTCTATTCTGTTCACATTTCTGTTCATGTTCTGTGGGAAAAAAACAGGGTGCCTGGTGCCATGACCCACACCCAAATCACTCTTTTCTGGTGCCCCATTGCCTGCACAGAGGATCTGCCGAGTCAGAGGATCCTTGATGATGTCGATGTCGGTTTCACCGACTAGCAAGGACGCTACTGTACTAGTAACAAAGGGCATCGCGACAAACGGAGCGTTCAGACGCTACTAGTAGATCCTGGCCATACTACCAGTAACAAGAAGCTACTAGTAATAAAGGGCCGCTAGTAGAAGCAAACAGCCCTCACTTTTCTTAGAAGCAGCGTTGCTATGGTGCTTTGGCATTGAAATAGTGACAAAGGGATGGCTAGGGCCATGAATTGCTCAGGCCGCTTTCATTGGACAAGAACAGGACCGATCCGCGGCCGCATGGCCGCGAACACATGTGAATCACAAAGGTCTCTAGAGAACCCCCACTGTCCCAATGGGTGCGCAAGGCCGCACCCAATGGGTTCACATGAAAATCACGGGTTTTCTCGAAATCTCCACACCGGATTGGATGGTCTTTCCATTCTCCATTCTGTTAAGGATTGGATGGTCGAATCCCAGTGAATCCCAGAACATGAACATGATGTTTTCTAGATCTTACCTTGATTGACCAGTGCCCTGCTATTCCTAACGACGAGTGCCTCATTGCCGACCGGGTGACCTGGATCATTTGACCGCTGACCAGCTGAGCAAAACGCGCGCACGCGCGCGCTGACCAGCTCAACAAACTGAAGACACTGCCCATGAAGCACCGGATGAAGCACCGCAGAAAGTCGACCAACACAGCTGTATGCATGAGATGGACCCTGAAAATCATAGAAAAGTAAAACATAGTAAAATTCCTTTCACAATAACATGTATTGGACACCATGCCACCTATTTGGGGACCACTTGAATTTTGTATGGATCATCAAGGACTTCTAGCAGCCCGATCTATGCCGTGTTCTATGCCGTGCTTCTGGAGCTGCCAGGGTTGATGTCCATTGACATTGGGTCCCTCCTTCAGCTGTTTCAAGACGAGCCTTTGGCAATGTTCGGAAGGAAGCAGGCTGCCCCCTTCCGAAGGATTTCATTGCTCAAGGTGAGGCAAAAGCATCAGACAAGACCTGGAGGCCTGCGGTAGTAGGAAGCCAAATTCAAGACCGCACACATTCATTTCCAAACTCAGTGGCCTTGAGCATTGCTTGCATGCTAGTGAGACGAAAAAACGACCAGTGGAACCGAAAAGCCCCTTTTGGTCCGATCGTCCTGTCGCTCGCGATGTCTCGTCCGTCGAGGAAAGGTTCAATCATTTTTGCACACCTGGTTCAGGGTTCGATCTTGGGACTGGGGAAACTGAACCAACATGTTGCGGTCCAAATTGAGACTATACACTCCCTGAAATATTCATGGAAGTGGATGGCATGGCCCCAAAGCTGAACTCCACCAAAACAGGATGATTTCAGGGAGTGTAGCCATGTCGATCCCCACCCTCTTCTGATTGGAGTCATTTGTTTGCAAGCAGTAGTAGCAGGAAGCGGACTGGGAGTTTCTTGGTGGAAAAGAAGAGCACCGAGCCCAGAATTAACTATACAGTTCCCCAGAGAGGTTTGGACCTCGTTCCTGCAATCCAGGTCGCCCTTGGCTTTTTTGGGCATGGTGCAAGGGTTTCAAGGGTTTGCATTTCCCATGGATGGTGGAAGCCCATTTTTCGCTACAGGCATTGGATCCGATAGGGCTCAGTGGCGATGTCTGAAACGTCAACTGCTGCCAAGTGAGCTGGGATCAGTTCACTCTTCATGAGCAGTTGGTCGATCTAGGGGATGATCGGACCCTGTTGGTGCGAACGACCGAGTGGACCCGAGTTCGAGTGTTTACAGGTTCGGGGCCTCCGAACTGAGGTCCTTTCCGGATTCACAGGGTCGCGTCGTCCCGGCCGGTCTGACACGAACGAAGCTGTTAAGGCTATGGCACAGCCTGTGATAGATGGGTGACCGATTGGTTGATGTGGACCCAGGGACCCACAAGATGTGTGGGCGTCGCCCGGGTGTCTTGATCAGCGTTTGGGCGAACAAAACGCACTGGTTTGCATCGGTTGGGGTTGACCCCTCTTAGCTGCTAGATTGCTCTTATCCTTCTGGGCTAGCACTCGTTTGTGGAGTCTCAACCTTAAATTCTGAGCAACACCTCCTTATGTTGCTCGCAGTCTACTTTGTCGAGTCCCCTTCTTGTTGCTTAGGAAGATCACTTTCGGTCTGAAGCTGCAGCCTCTTTTCACAAGGGTCTCAAGTGCTTGCACTGGTGAGAATTGTTTGATGCCTTTGCTGGAAATAGCATCAGCACGGCAGTATTCACACAGCTGTCAGCGCCAGAACGAGAGCAAGAATACGAAGTGCTGCTCAGCGCTGAAGCCAAGTGACGCAAGTGAAGGTGCTCACCTGTCAATTTGGGTGTTTCAATTGGATGCTCTCCATTCCAATCCTGATACTTGTACCATCCAGGATACCCCACTAGATTGGGCAATCGTAGCATGTATATGCTTGAGATGCGATTCGGGGGTTGCTGGGTGAAACGAAAAATGAGTCCAGAGCAGACATGTTCAGAATCAATTGCTTGGCTGCACGACACAGACAGGCTTGTGAAACCTTGGGCGACGCATGTGGCCCCAGGGACCGTGGTTGACTGAAAACGAACAGAAACACTACTGGGGAGGTCCTACCAGGGTGAGTTCCGGGCTCCAGCTTTTGACCCGCGACCCTGTTTCGGGACGTTTTTCAGAAAACTTCTCCACACTCAGTGGACCTCGTGGAGAAAACCAGCGTGACACCGTCCAAGAAAAGCCAAGATGAGCGTCTCGGACGGGATTGAAAGAGAGCGTCTTTGAGACTGCACACTGTGTGAGCAGGTATTACCTGCACCTGCTACTACTGCATTCAGGTCGCCGCCCGTTTTTGAAAGACCTGGCCAGACCCCGAAGCGAAGACTAAAAGGGTCGGCTTTCCCACACGCGTGAGGGATAGAGTGGAAGTGGATTGATGAATCTGAAGGAGAGTGGTGCTCCACCCAGAAAGTTCAGCGGGGTGGGGCCTAGATTAACCTTGGCATCTCAAGCCATAGCAAGTCTCTTGGAGAGCATGAGAACCCTTACTTGTTTTTTAGAGAAATGGTTGTTGCCTCTTCTCGTTGTCTCTCTGCTTGAAGGAGCGCTTTCTGGGGGACCCGTGAGTTCTTCTTCAGTTCGGGACCCAGGTTCGGCAGTCTTCCCCACGTTTTCGCTCACTGAAACCTCTATAGACTCTAGAGTCATGGAAACACCATGAAAAACCCTCATTAGAGGTCATGCAGAAGCTGGGAGAGGGTCTTCCAAAACGAACCAGGAAGGTCCCCGCAAGTGGATTCCCCAGAATTCCGGGTCAGATAAACATGCTTCGTTGGATTGACTGTTTGGAGAAATGATTGGGACAGTTGGTCAACCAGTCGAGCTGCCTTTCAGTGGTCACCATTGGTCTTTGCCAATCAAATGACATCCAGAAAACTTGACAAACACACATGCACACCTCGTCCCAAGGGGAACGATGGTGGGACCGCTCCCCATGTCTTGTGTACTGTACTGGAATTCCATGTTGTCATTCCGGCCGATTTCTGCGCCAGTCTATGATGAGCCACTGGAGTACAGCACTTAGCTCTCATTTCTCGCCAGTCTCGAGTCTCCTTCCACCTCCATCGGACATCGGCCGCGCCGCATCCGCGGCACGCTCTTGGATGAGGGGCAGGTGGGAAGGAGCTGGGGTGAAGAAAGGCTCCGCCGGGTCCCTTCGGAGGACCCGGAAGGAAAAAGAAAAAAGGACATGGAAGAGAAGAAGAGAGGGAACAAAGAGGGGAAAAGAGGTTGATGATGGTTGATGTTTTTTTTGAACGCAAAGGACACATTCTACAGCTAAGCCAGAACCCAGAAGCAACAAAAAGTAGCGATCCGCAAAACAGGCCCGGCATGTTAGCGGCTGGATTCTCTCTTTGCTACATGTGTCTTCCTGCAGTCCCACAGGGTGCCTCTAATTTGTGCTCTTCAGTTGCGATTTGGGATGCTCCAGCCGGGTTTGCATCCCTGCGCCTGCATTGGAGTTTACGCTCTTCGAACCTGCTTTGTGGATATGGAAGTGGGAACCGCCTTGTTTGTCAAGGAAGGTAGTCTCCCGAAGACGATGAATTGTCCACTTCCATTTCAGTGAGTCGGAGTGTAGCCTTCAGAACAACGCTGCCCTTACGCAACAAACGATCGCGCCTCGTGGTGACAGGACCAAACCCCAGAGTCACCACGAGTCTGAGTCGTTCCTCCGTTCCGGCGCTCCGCACCGAGGGAAGAGTCCCTCCGACTCACTGGAACTGTTGGTGTTGGGGACCGCACTATGGAAGAGTGAAGGTCTAAGCCTATGAATTACATGGTAAAAAGTCAGTCAACGATACAAGCAAGACGATTTGTCCGCAAGGTGTGCAACCTAAGCATCATCATCCACTGTTCCTGGTAATAGGATAGGAGACCCAATGTAATGTAGTATAGCACTATTTTGGAAGGCCATTTTTTGGATCATCCACAGGAGTCGAATTCGGACCCGACGAAGACCATTGAACACCTGGACCCTCACAGTGACGCTGCGGACACGCACCCTTTTGAGGCCAGAAGGACTGCCGCACTCCTACAGGCCCTGGCGTTTTCGGGGTGAAGTGAAGCAAAGCCTGTCAAAGCCGATCTGCCCAAAGCCTGTCAGTCTTCCACAAGGGAATGCTTGAAACGTCCCATCTGGGTCCCAGGGGAAGAAACTCCCGGTAGGAACCGACGGATGGGAAGAAGGAAGAGAGGAACAATACGCGCGCACATTCGGCACAATGCGTGCTGACTGATTGCGGTTTGCCACTTGTCAGCCTGAGTGAAAACCTGAATAAACCAAGGAGATCCAGGGAGTATGAGAGGTGGTGGTCACACGACAACACTTAAGTATAAAGGAAACCTGAGTCAAACAAGGTCCACAAATCGTGAACTTCAAGCTCGGTAAGTTGATTATCCTGAATTTGTAGTAGCTCTTGACAGCAAACCGGTGCAAAGGACGTGGTAGTTACAAGCAGGGACCAAGGAGAAAGTACCCAGTCAAAATGCAGGTACCTGTTCAGCACCACACCACCAAGCTCTTCGTTGGCCACTCCCTGGTGGTGGGTGGAGTGGCCCCCCCTGCAAAGTTGAAGCACATTGTCCGTAAATCCAAGCGCTGGCAAGTATATATATATATATAGAGAGAGATTGGGAAGTCTCTCTGGTCCTGAATCTTTCTCTGTTTTTTGTCCGGAAAGCTCGCAGAAGAAGGGAAGAAAACCCACAAAACACCGACGATGACCAATCTTCAGGGGAATTTCCTTTAGTACAAGGACCGCTCTTCGACTCATGACCTCCCCAAAGAAGTCGTCAAACCGAGAAGAGGACGAGGACAGGTGCTTCCCAGCTGCTTCCCTTTGGGGGCTGGACAACAACTCTCCAACGCTCACAAGAATCGATGAACAGGGCCCTCTTCGTTGAGACACTTCGCGTTGGAGGCGGCCGCACCCGCGTTTTTTCCGCACCGTTGTCAGGCCTTCCACCAGCGCCCAGGCGGGCCACGCGGGGGGTCTGGCACAAAAAAAAGAAAGAGTCGGCCTGAACGTGAGAAGGCCAGAGCGAAGCCATGGTTTGTTTTTGCGTTTCTTTTCAGTCCATGGTGATCTGTGTGGTACAGAATTTCTTGTAATGAAGAATAGAAAGAGTTAATTTTCTAGATTGTCACCACGTTTGGGAATCCTTTTTGATTCAAGTTGCTCTGGAGTCGTGGACGACAGCGGAAGTTTCAGGGGCCGTTGAGGTCGAGGTGTTCTCAAAACATGTTTTCTAAGCAGTGCAAAGTCAGACTAAGTTGAACCGGCTACGGATTGTAATCATTGCACATGCCACTTAGACAAGACCAGGTTTCTTTTCCATCAACGCATCATGCCGATCTGCGCTTCCGCAGGGGCCAGTGCCAGTGCCTTTTCAACGCCAGGCGGGGATAAGTGGAGGAGATGCTAAGCTTGGAAAGTGTCATTCATGCAATCTGGAGAAGCAGTTCAATCGATCATGCCACAAACGACACGTCGATCACAAAAAGTCCCCTCAAGGATCTTCAAAGGGTAAGCCAAAGCTCGAAGCATGTCGATATCCACAGCGACAGGGAGACTTTCACTTTTGGATTTTAATGGATTTTGTCATATTTAAATATATTAATATATTATTTGATACTATTTGATCGCTCAGTGAAAAGACTCTCCGACTCAGCAACGTCGACAATTGCCTTTAAATAAGACTGATCCTCACAAGTAGTGCCATTTCTGTATCTATATGAGTGTTCACTCACTGTTGACAAATACAATATAGTGGAGATGTGAATGACCATGCAAGAGAGGGGGAGAGGGGTGGTTCTATTGATATTTACTCATCAACTGTCAATGTTAGGCAATACAGAGGCACTTTTCATCAAAGAGCTTTCTGTTCACGCCAAAAAGGATTCATCCACGGTCTCTCTCTCTCTCTAAGTCGCCCTCCAACCTCGCAAAACCTCGTCCAGCGGTAGCACTGTTTCTTCGGTCCATCCCTTCATCGTTCTTCCGGAATGTTGTGCAAGAGTGGGAGAAGGCATGTGGTTGAAATTCGATGAATGTCCTTCTCAGGTGCAGTATTTTGAGTCTTTTTGATCTGGAAAGTAGATCAAGCTCGACAATGCACCAGGGGGAAGTGACATGTTCTACCATGATCTCTTGTGGGTGGAAGACTAGCCTTTTTGGCAAGACAGGTGCCTTCATGTCCAGATTTTTGGAGAGCTCGGGATAGATCGACACTCGATCAACACTCCATGGATGGTGTTTGAGGTTCCTTGGTCGTCGTTGGTTAGCCGACCTGGGAGAGCAACACCCGAAGCATGGCAACATCGATCCGGACCATCATCGATCGGGCGGGGAGTAGAGCACTCGGGTGGCCGTGATGAAACCAACACAGGACCATAGTACGGCCCATGAAGGCCGCCCCATTTTCACCTGCACTAGACAGGGGTGATCAGGGGTGTGTGTAATATTGCATGTATTTTCCTTTTCTTGTAGTATTGGTAATCACATCCTTTTTCTTTACAACCCATCCCTTTCAACCACCCCCAATGAGGGTAGAGAGGTCCTTCTTCCAGAAATCATCAGAAAAACGGCCACCGAACGACTCCCCCTCGGTCAGGTGGACGAGGCTGGAGATTTGGGGCGCCAGTCGACTTCGGGTGCAATGGATGTTTCAAGGAACTCTATGACCATCATTACTATACAGTATATTGTGTTATATATATATATATACATCATCATGCCATGTCATATACCCATTCAGTGTACAACCTTGAATCCTTTTTCCCGGGACTTGTTCAGCAGTTTCTCATCTAAAAGGGGAAGAGGTGTTTTTTCGGATTCAACCGAAAGATGTTGCAGGGATCGATCGACCTCCATCGGGAGGGCCGTCATCGAACTCTCCGATCGGATCGGTCTTTGGGTTCGCCGCATCGAACGAGCGCGGCTGGGCGTTGAGGTCGGTCGCGCCGGGCCCGATGAGGCCAATGTTCATCTGCACTAGACAGGGGTGAGCAGGGGTGGTTGGTTCTCAGGGCCCATCTCGATGACCCGATCAGCTCCATCGATCCATCAGGACTCCCAGTCGACCTGTAGCGAGACGTGAGGAGACCCAGGACAGTGCCGTGTCGCCTTGGGCGATCAGGTCTTTCAGGTGCAGGTGAAATGTCAAAGAGGTGGGGGGATCCCAAGAACTAGCTCTGGCACATCATGGCACATCTGATGAGTTAGTTACTGGGGCACATCCTTGACTCGGGTCGGGTCGCCCCAGTAAATCGGTGTTTTCATGGGATGGAGGATGCGAATGCAGTGAGAGATGGTCACTTTGCTAGACCGACCGGATTTCAAGCTGAAAGGGTGGACCAGTCAGCGGAGCGTTTAAGAACCTCGGGGCTGAGCTGGACGACGGAGCGGACAAACGTAGCGGACCCTAAAAAAGGCGAACCGCGAACTATGCCCCGTCCCATTGTCCTCAAGGTTGTTGCTGTGTTCACCCAATGGCCCCGATGAGTCTGGCTGTGCATACAGAACTACCGGAAGTCTCTCTCGGCATTTTCAGGTTTGACTTTCTGTGGGGATAGTGAAATATGATGGCTGGCAGTCAGCGGCTATAGTCAGCTACTATGGTGTCTCGTCTTCGGTGAAGAAGCACTCCTGCTGAGCTGCTGAGCTGTGGGTTGTCAAAGACATTTAAGTTCAAGTCACTGTCCGGACAACAACTTACCCAGGAAAAAAGGATCACCTGCGACACGATGCAACACGTTCTTTTCCTTTTTTCGATTTGATTACACCCGACGTACTAAGCAAGAACAGATGGAACGTTTGACCATGAGTGTCAGCGGTGCAGTCGACAGACGAACGAGCAGGTGGAACATATGGAAAGTTCGGCTTCAGCCGTTCTTTTTCAGGGATGGACATGGGTGGTCATAAGTGACAGAGCCGTGAGTCTGACATCGGTCAGAGGTAATCTCAAGGATCGAAAAAGCATCCCAGCAGATCTCAGATCCTCAAGATCTCTGGTGTGCTGATGGAATGGATGGGAGGGGGGATGGGGTGATGTTGAGAGCCCCCGTTGACTCCTCTTTTTCTTTTTGCCAAGGGGCCCGAAGGGGCCCGGGACTGGGTGATGTTGAAGACTGCCACATGTTGAAGACTCTGAGGATCTGGTCGGATCGCATCGTCGCTTCGCCTCAACTGTCACCCCAAATGTTTGATCGAAGAACCTGCTCTGCACAGAAAAGCCGCTCAAGCCTGAACTCCTCGGTGGGCCTCAGGTACATGACCAACATGCCTTCACTGCCCTCTCAGCAGCGGAGCTGCTTGGCGGTGTGATCAACGGCCACACGGTTTGGACCATCTCGCACCTACATGTGCGATGCACTGAACTATGGCCATCTTGGTTTTCTAGTGGCCACCTGGATCTGAGGCTTTTGGGGGAAGATTCTAAAGCAGCCTCCTAGCCTGGAACGTTGAGGGAAGGTGTGGAGAGAAGATGTCAAGAGAATCAGTGCCTGGATTGTGAGCAAAGTAGCAGCTTATATTGATGTTTTCCTGATGATCCTGATGGTCTTGAGGTGTTGAGATGGAGAACTCTAGGAGAATGCTGTGAACATAATTGAACCAATTACGTATCACATGCTCCAAGGGAGTCCAGGATTGGATGCTTGGGCAAGCGGTGTTTTCGCAACAAATCGGCGCAACACCTTTGCACCTCAAAACAGATCAACAAAAGTGGCTGGTGTGACCATGATTGACATGTCGAGTGGGTCATTTTCAATGTTTCCAGAGAGAAGCCGAAGGACCGCAGGGCCGCAGTGTTGCCTTTCACTTGCGGCGTGAAGGGGCGTGAAGGGGGTATCGGTTGGTATTGGGTACAGACATCCTTCCAGTCTGACCTTCCCCCAAGCGCCTGGTCTGTTCAGAGACGTTGTCATGACTTTGTTTGGGGGATGCTTGGTAGGTTCAAGATCTGAGACACGTCATGTTTTCATCATTTGAGTCAAAGAAACACTGACAAATAGGCTGGGGAAGACGACCAACACGGTTCCTCTGCTTAGGTGCTGATGATCATGATTCCTCAGATCCTGAGTAGTGATTCATATCGTCAACTAGCAGGCAGCAAAAAATAGAATCATTTGAGCCTTTGGTGCTGCTAATCATACAACCAATCATTGTGATCTTTATACATACTAATCATTGCTGCTTGGCCCAAAAGGTCGCTCCCTCCAGCTTCAGGTTCGGTGGCTGGCTGCACCGTACAGAGTCTGGAAGCTGAGTGGGTCGGAGGGACTGGGACGTGACTTCCTCCACAGCGTGGGTAAAGAGTAAAGAGTGCAGATTCTGGTGTAGAAGGCACTGTAGACCTCTGTAGACTGTAGACATCTAGACTGAGTCGGACTCCGAAACATCAATCGATCATTCAAGAATCATTCAAACAGATCCTGCAGCACTGCATCACATTAGAGTTAAATCACCAATGTCCCATTGAGGACATGCACCATTCAACACGCTCCGTTCCAATCGTTTGGTCCGATCCCAGGGGGGGAAGCAAGGCTTCGGGATCTTGCACTTGTTGGGGAGCAGCAGCATCACATCAAATCCGCAACACCTCCAATCACATTCCGGGCTGCGGAACGCTCGGAAGGCCTTTTGCTGGGCTCCCAGCTGGGAGACCTCTGATGTCCAAGGCCTGGCGGCGCCCTCCAGTTACGATCCCATCCAGGCGCGCGATTCGCGATGCGCGCTCCTGGTCCACCACCGGTGTTTTTACAAGTGTTTTCAGATGATGCACCCATGGTGGACAGGTCATTTCTGGCCGATTGTTTTGGGGCCGATTGTTTTGAGGGTGGTTTTATATGTGCTTTCTTGAGATGACCCAGAACAGGTGAGGACGCAAACATGGCCGATCAAAGCATGCTAGGACATGATATTAACTATTAACATATGATGACAGAAGGTCGTGACACAAGGTTTACTAGTCACGTCGACGGGGAGAGACTTTCAAGATCTGAGTCACCAGCGACATAGCACGAAATGGAACGTCCCACGCCAGGGGTTCCCCAGCTACACCGTCGTGTGCTGAAGACGGTTGACACCGCCATTGGGGTAGACACCCCAATCACTCCATGGCACAGTTCCATCGTGTCTCATCGAAGGATTGTAGTCCTTCCCGTTATATTCGTCCTTCTAATATCATGCAACAGGCGTAAATGAAGATATTTGTTCACATCATGCAGAGCAACACATGTGTCTTCCTGTTTTTTCGGCCACTTCCTCTTGGATCCTGCCACCCGGCCACCCGGCCACTTCGGTGCCAGACGGCGCGTCGGAAGACCGTGGCAGCGGAGGCGCGGCCGCGCGACACGTCGGCGGTGCGGAGGATTCAGCGAAAGCGCGAAGCGAGGCCATCGCTAGGGGAGGTTGGAGGCCTTCACTTTTAGGTTGGAGGCCATCGCTATTAGGTTCTGGGGATGTTAGAGGTGCATTCAGCAGCACTGACTGCTGGACTTCCCTCTGCTTCGCCCGGACGCGACGTCCAGGCGTTGGGTGTCCAGAAGACCGCGGGCCGCAAGACCGTGACACAGGTGGGGCCACCGAGATCATGGTCGTTCTTCGGCTCTCAAGAGAGGGACTCAAGAGAGCCACCGGGAGGCCACAGGCAGAGCCACCGGGAGCTGCGGAAACCGGAAAGGAGGACTTCGGGTTGATTCTGCCCTCCCCCTACAAGTGGGTTGTCCCCACTTGTTGATGGG